GAGGGGCAGGTGGGTTCAATGACCATGGATGCGACCGTGAAGAACAATTCATCTGTGAATATGAACTGCTAGGTAAGTTACAAATAGACATTATTCACAAAAATACTTTGTCTAGAGAGCGAGCAACTATACTTGTTTTTGCATCTTCAAACAGATCGATCCATTGCCACCGCCATAAAGTCCTCTGTCCCAAATACGAGGCACGCATAGGACGACGTGAATATGATAAAGAATGAGAGGGTTACTTGGTTTTGTTGCTGTTAACGAGCTCTCAGGGACAATTATCAAATACATTCAATAGCTATATGAATGTATATACAGAAATAATACCTATGTGAATTTGAATGCATTAAATGTGTCCTAACTGCTCCTACATTTTTGGGTACTTATCCTTCTCGTGGTAGATAAAGTGAATTGTTCGTCCTGATATCTACTTTTCGTATTATTTCTAGGGCCAGCATCTGCACCAAAATCAATAGGTAAGTAGTACAAGTTTTCCAATATGCACTTACACTAGTAAGGTTTTCAATACGTATACAGAAGCTTATAATAGTATATCAATTTGTTCTTAGTTACTTTATGCGATACTAACTGGACACATGGAGCAGGGAACAGCCAATGGTGGCGCTGTATACAATCGAAACCTATTTAGGCTTGCCAAAGCTCACGCCGGCATCAATGTAAAAAAGCAGAAACTATTGTTAAATTTGGAGACCAGTTTAGCATGATAAAAAGAGCATACACTCTTCAAAAAACCACAATAGACAGAGTGGGGGGTCAAAACCGAATATACGTGATTCCGGCGTATTCCAATTGGAGTTTACTTTTACGTTCAGTACCATCATCGAGGTTTGTCAATCAAACTTCATTGAAGGTGCTCAACATTGTGTTCGTATTCGATGCACACACATAAGTGACGCCACCAAATATGTACACCAGCTAACAAGCCACTCCAACCCAGCGACTGTTCAGATTGCAAAGGATTTATACATACTTCACCATGTCTTACGCTGTAATATTCAATTACAATTCTGGTATCCCCATAACTCCTGGTGCACTATGAGCGTTCGTGCTACCTATTTGATGGACAAGATATGAAAAAGTCACAGCACAAAGCGGTTGCATACTGTGGAGATAAACACAAAGACGCACATTATATTGATTAATTTTCACATAAATGTAAAATTCACACATTCATGCCAATCAATATCTATGTGATTATAAACTATCACGTGAATGTACCAGATATATCAAAATATATATCTATTTGATGTAAGTGTAAATTCATATAGTAATTAACAATACGTTGTTTATTTATGAGTGTTATTATAATGTGAAAATGATGCAATATTACATACTTCATTTGTTGATTGCAGTTTTAATACGCTCGCACAGTAAACGGAATCTCTTTATTATTAGACAACATTACTGCATCGTCAAAATAGCGCTGCTATACTCATTCTTTCCCATGAGGTCGCGTGTTGGATCTCGGTAAAAATACATAGATCTGGCAGTACGTGTAATATATGTACCCAGTCAGAGAGTACTTTTGCAATATGCGTTTCAAATAATAAATAAGGACGCACTAAACTGGCTAGACAGTGTCTGTCAAGGTGTAGAGTGGAAGGGACTACTTGGTTCAATACGTCTATGCTGTACACAGTGATGTGTCCTACAATTAGGCAATCGGCTGATCGCATGATTCCATTCTAAACTTTGACCATTAATTTTTATGTTAGTCAGGAGCCAAGTTTAAAAATAGTCAAACCAATGCGATATTTTGAATCAAAGTCCAATATATTTTTTTTTTTAAATGTTCAAATGTCCTTAGAATAATAACAAATAATATATGCATATGTCAGTAATTTACCATTATATACATTTTAATTTTACAATTTTCAGATACCTTAGACGTAATGACCGGTAATGAGGGCATGGTCATAGTGACCTTTAAGAGATATATTTTTATGTTTAAATACACATTTCTAAATATCCGAAATAAAAATGTTACATTTTTTTTTTCTCAGAGCTGCTCGTAATCACCATTATTTTCGGGATTCTGATATTGCTTCTATGGATAGCTGTTATTGCAGTTTGGCGTCGTTACAACAAAGAAAATAAAAAGCAAATACCATATGAAATATGAATATGTTGCGATGGCAACGGATGTGTGGATTTTCCAATATTTTAACGATTTGTTGAATCTTTCTTTTTATCACTTGTTTTGAATAATTGACAACGACATAGTTTATGTTAGTAACTATAATTTAGCTTAGAATTGTTTTATCTATTGCAAAGCCGTTATGATATGTATTCAGACGTTTAGTGTTATAACTTTAGTAAAACAGGATTTTACTTTATTCTAGTTTTATGTTTTTGTTTCGAATGTGTTCATGTATGACAACTTATGTTATAGCTTAACGATACGATACATTTTGTACAATTGTATTATTCCTTGTTTCTAACATATTATACCAATTTCTTATCACGTGCATATCTCCATAGTGTGACGTAATACAGGGCAAATGGAAAATGCATATCACATAGTTGGGATATTATATGCAAATATAACACCAGCAATATTAACACACCGAGCGCGAGTAATAAAATAACAGATCAATGTTACTTCATAATAGTTCAAGTTTCAAAAAAATAACCGTTTCACTGTGGTCATATGCATGTGATAAATAAGTAATATCGAGATATTTTTTGTTATGTTCGCGTAAGCAAAAACACTCGATTGGTTGGATTTGGTAACCATTCGTGTCTACTGACGCAAACATGCGACAAAATATCAGGAAATATACATTTAATTATTGACGTGTAATAGTTTTTGTGTTTGCAGGATGCATTTTTTTTAACTTTTAAACCAATATATCATTTGATACTGATTCATGATTTAGATTTAAATCAGTCACAGAATCTTCAGAATATGAGTGAAGAATTTTAAATAATGTTATGATTCATTTGTATGACACTTTATTGATTTCAGCACGTTGAAAGATGCATCGAAAAATATATGCTATCATTTGCGACGGGAAGTGGGAAGTTATTTTTAATATTTTTATTTGACCAAATTATCTTCCTTCGATGAAAACATGTGCATGATCTACATTGCAGATATCAAACCAATGAGTGCACATGAGATTAATTGTTTTATACTCAGTAGAATTAATATTTGTTTTTTTTAATTTATAATAAATCGGAACATAAAACAGTGTAACAAACTATATTTTTGTATTTATTATGCAGATTTAATTGCATTTTACAGGAAATACATATTTCCCGCCATATGGCTCCAGCTTTACATTTTGCAATTTTAAAAAGGGTAAAACAATATGCATAAAATGCCAATTTAAAAGCTTTTTCTATAGACCACAGTAAAAAACACATTTCCTCGACAAAAAATTCTTCTAATGCATCAAAAAAGTAATGGTGAGACATTATATTGATCCGTTGCGTAATAAACAATGGGACAATGCCCTAAAACAGACAAAATATTATATGTTCACTACCTTTTGTACATCGTTTTTGTCCCCTGAAGTGAATACGAATTCTTCTGTGTAGCATTCTACCTTAAATTATGGATTATGAGTGAGTTAAGTGTCCTTTATTCAAGGCCAACTAGAAAAAAACATGAAATGTAACATTTTTTTTTACATTTTAACGGCTTGGCTGCGAAATACTTTTTGCTTTGAACATGTGTAAGTGTAACTGAACGAAACATTCCCTTTTTAATTTATAATACTGTGGTGGCGCTGTGCGATTTGAATGGAACGTTTCGAAGTCGATCTTTGTAGGCTATCGTCGAAGCAATAACGTTCGTTTCACAAATAGATGAAGGAATTTCAGCCATTTAATTACAAAATAGTCCTCAACGAAATATAAAAACATTACACAGAAATATACAGGCCCTAATAATATGTTATGAAAAAACAACTCAACCGACAACCAGTGTCAAAAGTTCCTCGATGAAGTAAGTTCGAAGCGTGATTTTATTGTGCTCAAAATCGGTCATTTCAAATGCACACGCAGTGATTTCCTAAATGCATACTAATGAGGTAAATTGCCACTGATAAAAGTTGTTGAAAATATTTTGAGAAATATTGCGTAATAGTACTAGCGTGTATAAAACATTCTTTGATGAATTTCGTAATAGTGGATACTTTCAACAGTTTGTATTTTCAGCTCGTAACGATAGCATCATGTAGGTTCATTGTCATGAATATTAATTTATGCAAATGAGACTATTATTTCAACCAATCATGCCATGCAACACCCCCTGATTCATCTATTTGTTGCAATTGTAATAAGCATTGCACCTTAATTAACTCATAAATAACATCCATCTAGGACACATGTATTTTTTTTTCTGCTTATGAACGCCGCTGATTACACGACCTGTTACACGATGAGTGATACGGAACTTCATGTGGTGTTTATATGACATTTTTTTGTTCATGTGCGACATTTCAGTTTAACTTTATTCATGAAAAAAGGCTAAACGCGCAAGTAATTAGGAAAGCAGTATCTCAATATCAGTAATGATTGACAAATACGTCACAACCATGTGACAATAAAAATAATTAAAATAGGATATGTTTAATATTATATAAACAACTGTGTAATCATGAGGTAATACAATATTGTATGAACAATAATAAGAACGTAATATATATTATCAACACTACACAGACAAATTAGGTTAGGTTTAGCAGCTGTGATTATAAGCTTGGATTCGTGCTAAAGTCGTTAAAGATATTATTATATTAAATAGAGAAACAGAAATGTGCAATACATTGGTACCTGACTGAGTGCGTGACTTTGGATTTGAAATGAAGAGGCACGATTTGTTTATTTTGTAAAACTGTACGCGGACCTTGTCAACCGCAAATATGTTTGTATTTGTACTGGTGTGTGTTCAATGACACATGTATGGCGACATCGTCACGTGACGAATTTTGTTAAAGTTTAACTTTTCAAGCAGCGCTGTCGTTTACGAAACCTTAGTCTAGCTGTGGGGTTAAATACAGCTCGTGGATTTCTCCCTGTATTCATTCAACTTACATCGAAGTAATCGGTTATTTCCAACTAATAAGGTGAGTGTTACCGTTAAACCTTTGAATGACTGAGTAATGTAACCGTCTATTTAAGTAACACGCAGCTTCTCTATACAAAAAAACAAATTGTACTTTGGCTCTTGCCGCCATTTTATTTATACTAGTACTTCTTAAACAACAATATATTTTCAGATAGTTCTCCGTGAATACACGATTTGTAGTCGCTATGATATGTTATAGCATATCTACTTTTAATATGAATAACATCACAAAATAACATCAACATATATTCACACGTCCAGGTATATAGACTGATGCACGTACATTTATCTAGTTCCCACCAGTTGCGTCCAATTTATTTTTACCAATATCTTCCAGTACAAAGTCTCACTATAAAACTTAGATTTTATAATATTAAACAAAAATATAAAATACAATATGAGAGCAGTACCAGTGTCTCTACAGGCGTCGCGTTATACTCTCAACCACGGACCGGCGTTATACGAGTCTATGGGCCTTTCACGCGCTGCGGAAAGGGTGGTAGAACCCGTGGGTGAAACACGAGTTGCCATTTTTGTTACTCTGTGATAACATTGCGCATTCAACTTTAAGACTAGGAACATATATAATTTGTTTGCATTGATAACGAATGTTATGGTTTGAATGAACGTGATTTTGCCAAGAATATCTTAACTAAAATTTGTTGTTTAGTTGTTCATTGTACGATACCCGGATGTACCTTGGTCGGGGATAGTGTACGACAGGGTTTGTTAAAACATTAGAATTAAACCGATTCGCTTACACGCACAATAAAGCGGAAATTCCAGGTAGTTTATTTCACAGTTGACTACCGTCTATATCCGTTATATGACGAAATTATTGTGTGCTTTCTAATCAGAATAAGATGACTCAAATGATAGGAATGTGTAAGTAAATAATTAGACTTGGGTCTAGGCCGAAACAATTAATAATTACCTAGTTTTAATAAACTAGTGTACATTGCCAGGCTATTTACTTCACTGCAACTCGTGTGTGTGAAATTCAACGGAGTTATGGAGTCACGCTTTCCTCATGCGGAAGAATATTCATTATTGCATTGCGTGAATTGCGCCAATAATTCGTCAGATAATATAATGGATTACTTACAGAGAGCGTTTTTTCTTTAAACGTGATTTAAACGTTGTTGCATGATGATGGTGAGAATGTTTAAACATGATTGTGAAATTCACCACTTGTAGCGTTTCGGGTAATTCTTTTATCCCGACGAATCTGGTGTTGTAAAGTACATATTTAGTACATGTCGCGTGGTATTCGGATTTTGGTCCAGATGACGATGTTAATCATTTCACGCCAATATATAACAAAAATATAATTATTTTTTTAGAAACGACTACATAATTATCTCATAGGAGTAGAGTTGTTTAACAATAACTATTGATTGGAAGTGTTTACAGCAGGTACATACTATCAATTAGAAATCTATGTTAGGCTTTTATTCATAATTTGACATTGATAGGCCGGTATTATGAGCTGCTGAGTATACAACAAATATCACCATACCCATATTCATTGATTCATAATGACAATTTAACGAGTCTCTGCATACAAATGATCTAAGGAACTAAAAAAACAAAAAATGTTAAGTAAAAAATGTTACAGTTATCTCGGTTGCAGCGGTGGCTAAGAAGGTCACGAGGTCAAATGCATTATGTAGAGTGGGCGCTGCGTAAGCTAAGATTATTCACCAACTTGTTACGCAGTACGTGATACCACGCCACGATTATGAGCATGGGGAAGGGTATATTTAAATAAATCACGTGTTGTTTTGCGGGTTATTGCATCATGCGACAAAATAAAACATTTATTTATATACCCTAAACGGTCTGTCCTTGAATTCAATAAAATATGAAACGACAGGAACTGTTGTTTGTCAGTAGAATTACATTATTGCTGTCCCGTGACGTCAGGAAACAACGCATTAGAATCGGTACAAGCTTCCTACATCAACAAATAAGGTGAAAACGGAATATTTGTCTAATGCAGTAGCGATATTATCAACGACATGTCAGACTGAAAATATTTTGACCCATCATAAAGTTATTTACAGTGGCAACTTCGACTGCCCAGACCAATAAATGCCTTTGTGAGAATAAAATAAAACTTCGATTGTTCTAGCATTCCACCAGCGTATGTTGAGGGCGTTTGTACCCAGGGGGTACTCCAAGTCAGACATGGTACCCATGCTGAAGTATATAGATTTTTTCTCGATTTTTTTTTATTGCGTGACAGCTCGAGAAGTATCCTGTTTTTTGTAGACACGTTGTATCTCCAAGTCAAGTGAAAGTGGATTCTCAGTTATGGCATTTTGTTATTATGTGAAATATTCGATGGTTTAAAACTGTGTAATTAACGCGTAAACTGTCGGTGCTCGTGTCGGTTTCCTATTTGATTGTGTTCAAATTCACTCCTAATTTACGTGTATAGATTCTCAAAGATTCGCTTCAGTTCCGAATTACTGCGGGACATAGTTACTTGAAACAAGAGCGAATCTTTTCCGCGATTCACGCTTTTTCTTTTTATCATAATACAAGAGCCAAAAAAGCTAGAGGAGTGATCTCAGAGTGCAGCTCTTAGTAGCTTCATTATAACACAGTATAATACGAATCCAATAAAACCATACACGTCATTGCATTGTAGTCAAAACTACTGCTGCACTCGAATGTTCAAGTAATGGTTAATATTTAACTAAACATACCTAGGTTGTAGTGATATAGTTGCGTGGTACATACATCAGCAACTGACAGCTGCTTGGTTGTTGACTTTATTTCAAAGACTAACTTATTATATCAGTTACCAGTTATAATAAAATAGCCGTCATCAAAATAGATAACATTTAGCCCAGTGAACTGTGAGTCAACAACACAGCAGTATTAAACAGTAAACTGACGGTACTATGCGAATACAACTATGAATTTTTCCTCTCCGACATGCGTTGTAAAAATTGCATTACTTTTGTTCATTGTAATATTATATAAGAATTGCTGCCAACGTATTTTGACTTACAATAAATTCATTTCAGGATCACTTTTGATTGATTGAAAAACTATAGTCTTCAAATGATATACATTATTCATAATATCTGTAGTGTAAAAATCAACACCCTGATGGACGATATTGATTGATGTTAAACATGTATTTATTGTAATAAATATTTGTGTTCTGTGCATTTAGAAGTCACTGAGATGATTGGTTTGCATATTTTTATTTATTTGATTATTTAAAATAAATTGCTTGACCTTCCGAAAGATATGACGTCGTATAACTACATTGCGATTTCCGGTTCGAAGCAGTTTATGATAAAAGTATATAACTAATGTGATTAGTCATGTATCTCACCTTTGTTGACGTTGTAATCTTTGTATAATTGTTCATTGTTGCCAAACGCAGTGACATCGCCAGTGTTTGCTGTTCGCTATTAGTCATCTATAAAATATAATAAGATACGTTTTGGCAGAGTTGAGTGTTAAATTTAGAAACATCACAGCCGATAAGAATAGTGTCAACGACCAGCCTTACACATAGCAGCTAGGTAAACTAATGACGTGATCGATTCACGTGTGATCAATGGAACGTTTGACGAAGGCAACAATCTTACATTTTTTGTCCATTCTTTATTTTGTTTCAGGCGCGTATCTACATGATGGCGATACGGATTGTATTTTTACTGGTTGCCTTAACCGTTGTGACGTCACAAGGTATGTTAGTAGAGTCAAGTACTTCGATGGGTGTTTAGTATAGTAAGAATATTCCATAATAACGACTATAAACTCAAATTTGGTGTTTATTACTCGTACCCCTTGGTAAAATCACATACGTACGTGGAATATGTCGAGATAGGAAGTCAATTGTCTCAAATGAGTGGACCATACTGCTAATATTGTACAGTACCCTTAACACTATATACAGTTTCGAGCTCCCGGGCGTGTTCCAAGGTAGCTGGGACACTGAGCGCAACAGAAAGGGGAACTGTTTGGTTTTGTTGTTCACGAATAAAATAGACTTCTTAGATGTTGTTCCCAAGTAATATCCTACAACGGTACATACGGAGACCAACATCTTGTAAATGTTAGTTTGTTCAACTTCATTGTTTGTGTATGTTTTATATTATTGTATGGAAAAATCATTATAACGTTGGATGACCAAATCTGAATCAACATGTCTGGAACAAAACTGCACTTGTCAAATATCATGCTTATATTATATTTAGCTAAGTTTTGTGTTTTACAATATATTGTAGTAAAACCTAAATTGTCATATGATCATCGTTCACGAGCAACTGCAATTAACATCGGTTCACCCTAGTAATAACAATTGGGAACTATGGAGAGATATTGCAGCGCAGACTTTTATAAAATTAGTTGTTGTTGTTTTATAATACATGATGGGCAACTTAATTTACACTTGTTAGGAAGTTATTTAGAAAGTTAGACTTTCAAATTTGGCACCACATTATTTTCAAATCCCTGGCTCGCGGCATTTGTTTTTTTTAAGAACGACATATAATTTGGAGGGGGCATAACGCTACTGGCTTTATGTACTATTCTTATTCTTAGTTCACGTTTTTGTCACAAAATGGCGGATTTCTTCAGACAAGTGACGTGATTTCTCTATAAAACATAGATTCTTCAATCTGATCAATTCTGGCTATATAAAAAAATGATAATACAAATTATGATCACTGCTAAGATCGATATAATGATTTGTAACCGAGATAAAGTCAACAATGATTTCTACAGGTAAACAAATCTGCATATCGAACTTGGCCAGGGTCAACATTTGTATAATAAAACAAATCTCACCTTATTTTCAGCTGTAGAAGACACTAAGAAAACACATTCCGGAGCATGTATGGATGGTTGGACACACTTTGGTGGTTCTTGTTACTACTTGTATGGATACGATAATGCTATGGCCCATTCCGATGCTTTTGTTAAGTGTGCTGCTATGGCAAAGGGATGGTATATTCATTTAGCGAGTTTTCACGACCGAAAAGAGTATGAATGGGTATACGGCTGGTTAGCTACACAGACTCACTGTAAGTGTTAATATATATATTACAGACATATTATCTAAATGAATTACAGACATATTATTCGAAATAATATTCCTATAGTATAATCTTAAAATTAGTGTATGATGTCACTATAATTGACTACACAAAACAGTAAAGAATTGTTGATGACTAACTGGGGCACATGTAACCTGTAACTTACAGTTTTTTGACATAGCACATATTTTGTATTAGTGATGTTCGTACCAAACGTTAGAGCTCTTATGTATTGTTATCCAAAGCGGTACTGAAATCAACACATATACACTTCAAAAGAATTCTTTTTAATTCTACATTCTATAAACACAGACGTGTTAGAATAACGCATACATAAAAATTGTTTTCCCAACACATTGAATCCGAATCACATTTATGTGCATTAGCGCTGAGTGTGACAGAAAACGGTCAAATGTTCAAACAGATGATACAATATATACAACTGTTCCTCTATTTTTAATTTTGTGTATGTTTCATTTATATGTGTAAGGCCCAAAATTGTTGTTGTATGTGATATCTCAATTTCGATTTGTTAAATATGTGAAAGTATGTGGCATTCATCGCTACAAACATACCCTGTGCTTGCTATACAAGTTGTACAATTTTTCATAGCATACATCATCATAACATTAGTTATATTTCCGTTAATTCCAATTATAATATTATTTTATCTCAGGGAAAAAAAGTTTAAGTACATGGATTGGACTTACTTTGACACCAGAAAAAATATGGGAATGGCATGACGATAAGAAATTGAATTATAGTGATGCATGGGCACCAGAACAACCAGATGGTAATGGTGCATGTGCTGAAATACGACAAGACACTGGAGGTTTTAATGATCAGAATTGTTCATTTGTAAATCAGTTCCTTTGTGAATATGAACTGAGTGGTGAGTGATTGTTCGAAAGAGTTACATTTATTCAGATCTCTTATTCCACTACATATATTTACTATGTGCAGATTCATTATATTTTTCATGTCTTTATAGTCGGAACAACACATATAAATTGTGTTTTTGTTATTTATTCAAAAAATATTATTCTACTCCATGATTTTTTACTTGACAGCATTGCCACCAAAAGCAACTTTACTTCCAAGTCCATGTCCAGAAGGATGGGGATATCATAATTATTCATGCTACTTGTTTGGTAACTATCTCCATGGAAGAAATTACAGTGCATCTGAACATGAATGTTCAAAACACAATTCCCATTTAGCAAATCTACAATACAGCGGGGAATACGTCTATGCTTACTCAATGCTAGAACATGAGGAACACTGTAAGTATATATAACACTTATCACACGCATAACTTGAGTATCTCCATAGTGTGACGTAAAACAGGACATATCGACGTTTGACGTCACAGTTAGTATCATCATCATCATCATCATATGAGTTATTTCTAATGGTAGTGAACAAAAATGCAAAATCGGTGAGTTGTTGGAATAGTATATATAATTAATGATATATCAACAATAACAACAAAATGTGATACATATTGTACACATTGTATGATCGTTTTCTGGTCAATATCAGTCCATAGAGAAATTGGTGTATGGATTGGTTTACGGCTCGTGGATAACGTGTGGAGATGGGGTGATGGATCGAAATTGGAATATGAATCCGTATGGGCTAAAGGTGAACCTAATGGACATGGACCGTGCGGAAGTATACATAAGGAGTCAGGTGGCATTGGCGATTCACCGTGTGATCATACCAAGCAATATCTATGCGAATATGAACTAGCTAGTAAGTGTAACATGCATATGATATACTTATGATGTAATTACGTAGTTTTTTAGTACTATCAATATGCAGAGTGAAACTAGCGCACTATTGTATTGTCTCATTCCGGTTCTTCTAGTGTTAGATAGATAAATCCTCTTTCCTAATATTTTGTTCGTATTACTTCTAGGGCCAACATCTGAACCAAAACCAGCAAAAGGTGAGTAGTGCGAGTTTTCCAATATGTACATACATTAGTAAGGTTTTAAA